AAGAAAAGAGAGGAAGAAAAACGTGAGGAGAGAAAGGAAAGGAAAGAAAAAGAGGAAGGGAAAAAGGAAAGAAAAAGAGCTAGGAAAACTATATTCAAACCTAAAAGAGGTAAGTAGGTTTCATTTTCTTGGCTGATTAATGTCTTAAATTATTTTTTTTAAAGTTATTTTGTTAGTGTTTATTTCATGGGTTGTAATAATCTTCATTGGTTATATGCTTGATGCTTGGGATAAATCTATGTATGGATGCCTTTTTGTGATGATTTATGATGTTATAATTTTTTGTAAAATGTCCAAGTATGTGGTGATGGGTTGGATTGAACTTGGACTAAATTTAAGTGAACTAAAACATGTTTAAAATTGGCTTGGAATGAACTAATAAATTAGTGTTAATAAGGAGTAAACTCTGTCCGAATTTTGGGGTGTCTATTCAAGGATTTTAGATCGATTTCTAGGTGAAACTTAAAGCATAAAAGTTGTTCATCTATGTTTCAACTAACTTCCTTTAAAATTTCTTGGTCATTGGATTAGTTTACAAAGAGTTACACCCGATTTAGTATGGATAGCTCTAGATAAACTACTATTAGGCAGATTGCTCCCTAAGTTTCAAAAATTTGTAATTAATTGTGTACTTGGTATTTAGACCTACTTTTTGGATATGTTATAAATAAATATGTCTAGTATCTAAAATAAAATGAGTAAGATTTAATTATGTTCTGAAATTAGAAAATTATTTACTCAATTAGGAGTTGCCCGGTAATAAATCCTAAAACCAAAAAAATTAGACTTTGACAAAATTAATAGGTTTGGAATAAACTAAATGAGCTTGGACTAAATAAAATGGAATTAAATAGAGTCAATGGACCTAGGATAAAGTTAATGGGCTTGGATTAAATTAAATGGACTTGGACCTTCTTTTAAATATTAATGAACCTAATGAACAATATTAATGTGCGGAGATTGTGTTCCTGCTTGTGGGTATCATGATTGGTATGTGAGCAATGGATAAATTCCGAGTGTGAGTTGGACCGTGAGTATGGCATGAGAATGAAGGGTTGGTACCCGAATTTGGTTGAATGTGATTAAATATGTCATCACGTGCATCATGTGCATAGTGGGTTGTTTAAGACAAGTCAATTGATTGAGAAACGGTTTATACATCTAGGTTTGATAACCTAATTGGAATAAGTGGGCATTAGTAGTCCGAGTACTCTAGGTCGTGTGCCTGCACTATTAGACGATGGATTTCCGCTAATAGTAGTTACAACGAGAGATAATTCCGTTGTAGCGAGAAGATGATCCGAGGATCATCTGGATGAAATCAAGTTGTGTGCTTGCACCTTGTTAGACGATGGATTCCCGCTAATAGTAGTTACAACGAGAGATAATTCCGTTGTAGCAGAAGGTGATCCGCGGACCACCCGGATGATAAATAGAGTAGATCGGCTAATACCTAGGATACCCGAGATTAAAATTTATGAGTATGGTGGGAAGTCAAAACAACATTGCATATCACGTGCATCACCCCGCTTATTGAGCTTCGGCTCACCATGTTGTTATTTTTTTATGTCTTGACGGAAAAAGGATAAGTTGGTACGGATGCGGCTAGCTCCTCCTAACCGGCTCATGTGAGGCACCATATATTAGTTTTTATATTGTCCGTAAATTTAGGGTATGGAGTTCGTGAGAAATTGAATATTGCTCGTAATGTTTTATTAATGTATTTAATTATGTTATGTAAATTTTATCTTAAGGAGTTATATACGTAATGTACTCGTTAAAGTCCTAAGAATATCATAAGAAAACTACTTAGAGTTTAGGATATGTCGGTGTAACGCGTTTCGTCCAGTACCTTACTTGGGTAGTAGAAATACGACTGGGCGGGGCGTTACAAAACTCATCAACTAATATCATGAAATGATTCTATTCAAAGAGATTGTTTGCATTAGGACAATGAAATTAGTATGAACCAACATCAAAGGAATTATAGCTCTCAATGACTTTCCTATTTGAAACCTTTCTTAAAGATGCTTACCAAAAATAAATGCTTCACACAATTGCTTGTCACCACTAACTATGGATAAACCTAAAACCATATTCTAATTTTGTAACAAATTCAACCTACCAAAATTAAAATAACTATATCTTTTATTCCAAAGCATAAAATCACTAGTTGCTTGCAATAAAAGTATTATGAGCAATTTTGAAAAACTCAATAGGAAGCATCTTGTTGCTTGTCATTTTAACTTAGTAAATCAAGTTCATGCTATTCTTATCATATATCAAGCATTCATGGTTGCCAAAAACAACATAATAACCTCTTTTCATTAATTGACCCAAGCTAAGCAAATTACGAGACAAGTCGGGAACATACATAACATTATGAATAAGATTTTTCTATCATTTTTCGACATGACATCAACATTGCTTATACCACATGCGTGAACCTTGTTATTGTTTTCTATCGTCACTCGTGAATTATAAGACTCATTAATTTCTAAAAAGTAATTCACATTCTAATGACGTGTCACTCCATCAACAAATTAATATGTTTTTGTGTTCTTCACTAGTCCCAGTCAAAGGATTGTAGTTAGGGCAAGTAAGGGGTCGATCCCACGGAGAATCGATTCAATTGATTTTTTCTTTATTATTTGATTATTTCAAAGTGACATAAAAGAAATGGAGGTTTTGTTTGTTGCAAAGAGTAAGCAAATCAAAACCGAACAAAGAGATAAACAATAATAATAAAGCTTTGGTTGAAGGTTGGTTTCACTTTTGGTTCAATCATTAATCATCGATTCAAATATTAATCCATTCTTATTATGAATATCCATCATAAGACAACAACATGTATGTTATCTCCAATCTTTTCTCGGTGATTTTTTTAACCAAATAAATGCTATTTGATTAATTTCTAACTATTAAACAACCTAGTAGATACTAGTTAGATTTAATCCAATAGCGATATTAATTGATAGAAAGATAGGTTGAGCTAAATAATCCTCCTAGATGTTAAAAGAATTTAATCTTAGTTTTATGTTTTCCAAGAGATTAAACAAAAACCCATTTATAATTATTAACCCCTATTTGCTACCATATGCAAATTTAGAAAAGTAATTATACGAACTTGAATACTTATCTAGCAATAGATTATAATGATTAAATAACTAGCGTGGACTTTAATCAATCAACCATACAATCATATTCATATAACATAAAAAAATATAAAATACCTAAAAGAATAGGATTGCGAGATAAAATCCGTTTAGATCTTACAACAATTTTACCAAAGGATTCAACTTTTCTTCAACTAAGAAGGGGTTTTTTTAAAGTTGTAAGGTTTTACTTGCAAAAGTTGTGTGGTCGTTAGGATGAAAAGATGCCCTAATATAAAACTATAATTTTTCTATTTATAACTAAAAGGTAGGGTTACAACACACATATAGCCATCTCATAAGGACATATGGTTTGTTTGTTGTGGCACATGGCTTGCTCTTTGGATTTACACGGTTTAGAGCCTTAAACAACTCGGTGGCACACGACTTGCTTGACTTCAACACACGATCATGTGCCATTTGCACTTCATCTTATGTCTTTTATTGCTTCATATCATGCTCTTAACTACTTCTCATGTGATTTTGTTACTTCATTTGGTGTCCCCGATTCTTTGCCTATGTGTCTTTGTTGCTTCATTCCTTATCCCTAGCTAATTAAGCTTGTGGATATTTAATAATTAGTTTAAATGAACTTGATATGAGTCAAATTAGAGTTTTCTTTTGTCATAAAAGTTATAGCCCTAGTTCTTTTCTTTTCAATACATTAAGTCTTGCATCAATTAGAGATCCATAGCTTTAGTTATGAGCTAACTATTGACACCACCTTAATCTGTCTACCCGACCTTAGGATTCCACTTTACAACCGAATTCCTTCATGAGACTAACTATTTTGAACTCGGGGCCTCATAAGAATTATATGTATGCCTCTTAAGTATTCCATAAGCTTGGCCTTGCATCAATTGGTCTTTTGAAACTCCATATATAGATTAAATTTCAGAATAGATTTAGACATCAAATAGAATTCGGATCAGCTTTTTAGACTAGAATATGAAATATTTTTCGAAGGCCCAAATAAACTTGGATTTTGACCCATTATATCCGGAGAGATGTTCTTTATAAAGTTTCTCAAGACCACTTCTTCCAAACCTAACTTTAAGGTTTTAAAAAAACCTACAAGAAGTCCGAAAGGTATATGTTAATCATGTTGGAATTTTCTAACTTTTAAGCACAATTATTCTAAAATCCTAATTTATGTGTTTCTTATGAATACGAGCATGGATTATCATAATAAGACATAAAACATAGAAAATAAACTAACTATAAAAAGAGTAAAGATGTGATATAATATTTCTATTAAATTTCTCCATACTTAGCTTTTGCTCATCCTTTGGCAAAACAAACAAAACAAAAATCTAACTCATTTTCATAGAAATTACAGTTGCATATATAAATTATGATTCACACATACACACACACACATACACATATATATATATATTGATTTAAACTGATAACCAAAAATCAAATCAAAATTTTAGTTTTTTAAATGAAAAATCGAATAGCATTTTGGTTTGAGTTCGGTTTTGAAAATTTACTTAACCGAAAACTAAAAAAAAATTATTTAAAATCGAATCGACAAACTAAATAATCACTTATATTTTTAGTATCATTGCTATATATATATATATAATGTATTTTTAAGATATCAAAAAATTATAGTGTTATCATTTATGTTAAGAAAAAAAAATTGTGTGTATGCAATTTTCCATAATTTTTGTTAATTTAATTATTTAAATGCTAAAAAAAAAAAAAAAATTGAGTGTACGCAATTCCCCCAAAAACCCTCACCTGATTTCATAAGCCCACTAGGATTCTAACTCCGATCTTCAACTGCCATTGTTAAAACCTCACACTCCGCAGAATCAATTTCCAAACCCCCCAGCCATGGGAGACAGAGACAGAACCCGCGACCGAGACCGTGAAAGAGAACGCGACCGAGAAAGACGCCGCGACAAAGAAGAACGTGACAGAGACCGAGACCGAGACCGAGACCGAGACCGAGACCGGACCCGAAGCACCCGCTCACGCACGCGCTCACCAGAACGCGTGGAACGTGACAGAGACCGAGACCGAGACCGGACCCGAAGCACCAGATCTCGCACGCGCTCACCAGAACGCACGCGTTTCCAGACATACGCGCTCTCGTTCTCGCTCTCCAGACCGGTCTCACAGGTCTCACCGCCGCCACCGCCACCAAAGGACCCCATCTCCGTCACCTCCGCGAAAGCGACACAGACACGAGAGCGATGACGACAGAGAGAGGGAAAAGCAGAAGGCGGCAGTTTCGGATTTTGTGGATGGGATAGCGAGAGAGCAATTAGAGAAGAAAGAAAGTGATAGTAATGATAATGGAGTGGGAGATGGTGGAAGTTTGATGGATGAGGATGAGGTGGAGATAATGAAGAAATTAGGGATACCAATGGGGTTTGATTCGACGAAAGGGAAGCCGGTGCCTGGTGCGGATGTTAGTGGAGTTAGAGCCGTTACGAAAAGGCAGCCTAGGCAGTATATGAATCGTAGAGGAGGGTTTAATCGACCATTGCCCCTGGAGCGGAATCGCTGATGTTGTTTCACAAGGTATGAGATTTTGATTAATTTTCTATTATTTTAGTTTTTATTGATTTTCTGCTCTTTTGTTTTGGTTTTTAATGCTGTTTACCTTTTTTTTCCCCTTCAATTTGTCTGGATTGGATAATGTAGTAATTCCTTCTTTTGATGTTTTTCATTTATGAAATTTTAAGCATTAAATACATGTATTGTTTGATGTTGGTCTCTGAGATATAGTTTTCTTGGTGTAATGTGATACAAGTTAGTTTTGATGACAATAAACTAAGTTTCGATCTGGTTGTTTTGTTAGGATGGCTGTTCTGCATTTAAGTGTTTTTAATGTGGCTAGGAATATGAAAATTGGACTATGATGTTTGAGAAAATAGTGATATTTTTCTTGGTAATCTGAACTGTGAACTGCTTGAATGCTTGTGCCTGTTATCCTTCTCCAGGTTCTTGGAATGACAAATACTTTTCCTTCTTTTTTCTTTTTTTAAAGATTTAATCTGATTTTGGTTTGCATTTTTTCAAGCTGAAAACTATAGTGAATAGTTTGGGTGTTGTTTGTGCTTGTTTATTTGAGGTTACATTGAGTTATTTGAATATCTTAAAGTGACTGTCTTAATCATGGGTGATAGTGGTACACATTTTGTTTCTTTTTACAAAAAGCTTTAGAGAAATGGCTGTGTACAGCATTAAAGCCTAATATCAGATAGGAAAAAAATAAAACATGAAACTGGCCTCGGTTGAGTGCAATTTGTTTTTGATTTGCTTGATGTGGACTTGATTTGTGCACTTTGTTCTTGATTAAGAAAGTTTGGTTCAAACTCAAATTGCTTCATACACTGGTAAAAAAAAAAATTGGAATTTCACTATTTAGAGAACCCTAGATTGAAGTTTAAATTTATTGTAGTAGGTAATCATGAAATAATTTTCAGAATATAGAATGAAATATAGATTTATATAGTTTGTGAATAGCTTTTGCCTCAATTGTTAAACTTCCTCCTCTCTCTCTGAAAACAAATTGAAAATAAGATTAGAAGCTTTTTCTTTTCTTAGGACATATTGTCAATATAATATTTTTAATAGGATTTTTCTTATCCATTAGACATTAAGTTCCATTTTGATTAAATATGCTGGAATGAGAAAAGTGACCTGTGATTGTCTACTTTGGCATACAAGATATCATATTTGTTAGATTTTTAAGTACTAATAGTGTGGATGAAATGTATGGTTGTTTTTAGTCTGTGCCTTATCACCTTAGAAGACAGCTGCATGAGTGATCTTTTTTCTGAATACCAACTGCTCTATTTTCCAGTGCACTATCTGTTGCAAACTCGAGCGATCGTGGTTTCTCTTTGGCCTTGGCTCATATTCATCTCAGCCAGACTGCACCTGGTCCTTTCAAATTGACACAGCGGTGCTGTGATCATGCTTGGATAGGATCTTCATGAAAGACCTTGTAAGACTCAAGTTCTTTTGCTTTACCATGAATTGAGATTTTTGTATGGATATGTTGTGTCTGATTTATTAATCAGTGGTTCAGTAGTACTCAGTGGCTTGATTTAGACATGGCCTATGTGATTGATCTTCTCATGTGGAGAAATATTTGCAAAATGAATTGATTCTACCCGTTGAATCCATTGACTTCAAATTATTGTTCTAACTGCCATTGCTTGTGACAGCGCAATGCCTCGAGGACCATAGTGAATTGTTGAGGCAGCTAATTCTTTTTGTTTGTGGATGGTTTTCTAGTGAGAGCAATTGCAGGTCAGCACTCTGATGAATGGAGTATTAGTGATGGATATCATGTGGATATTTCTTTTCTAATCATTTTACCATTTTTTTTGTCATTTACTTGGCTAGGTAATGGCTTGTATTGTGTGAGCATGAAGATGGGTTTTGAACCTAAGGCCCCAAGCACCACACTGGTGAGCACCTAGACTTGGTGCTATGTTTGTGTTGTAGATGCTCATACAAATTGATGACTACATTCTTCCATCATGGTATTTACGACCTCTGGATAATGATTTTGACAATCTTTGAGTCAATCTTAGTGTCCTGATGGGCAGTTATGCAAGATTGCATCATTTACTCTTGTAGTTTGGTCTTCACAGAGTCGGTCATTTGTGGTTGATGCTGCTGATGTTTGTCTGAAAAATGCCACTCATGTCATTTGGATTTTCTGATTGGGTTATGGCAGAGTAGATGGGATCATATATCTTCTAGTTCACTCTTTCCTTTCAAAATTTTGCTACTGTTTAACTCTTGAGCATTCATATCATTTTCGTGATGCTCCAGTACTCCAGACTTCACATGCCTCAACCTATCTGGCTACTGGTGGAACTGGTCAAGGCCGAAAATTTTTATTTTACAAGTGCCCTATAGCCTAGTTCGAAGAGATCTTGAATTAAGATTTTTCTCCTCTGATGCTGGACTGGAAATGGTAAGAATGATGGATTGAATCGAAGGGAGGAAGGGGGTAGGGAATATGTACATAATGATTTGGGAAATCCACTTCCCCAAAGGCAACGTAGCCAATAGTAGTTGGCGGTGAGTCCCAACCCTTTAGTTGTCACGCGCTATAAGCCTATTGACCAATATTCTCATATAGCAGCAGGTGTCCAATATTGTCAATCGGTGGATTGATCCTCGTAAATTTGTTCATTTTATTTGGACAGACCTCTGGGAGTTTCTATGCCTCTTTGAGGTTACAGATGAATAAGGAAGTTATTTACTTGCTTCTGTCAAAGTGATACTCTTTAGTTGCCTTATTACAAGAGAGACCTTCCCTAGAGTTCGGTGATCTTAAAAGACAACCCAAGTATAGTTTTCAATTTTTAGGATGTACCGAACCGAATTTCAGCAAAGTACGCTTGAGAGATCGAGAGAACTCCCATCGTGTTTGTTTGTGTTCAATTGCAAACGAGACGACAGTCTCTTGTTGCAGAATAATAAATCTGACAATTCTGGACGTACGGGATCCAACACAGGACAATCTAATACAAGGCGCACTTTGGAACGCACAAACTAATGGCTGGGACCCCTTGGAGGGAGGAAAACCATGGGGGATTTCCTTCGTGTTGGACCAAAACCATGTGCTAATCACAATCATGCTTGCATTGATTATATTATTATAAGCAATCAGTCAAACAAAAAAGATTATTATTTTAGTATCTCCACTGGCAAGCCGCTTGGCTTACCTTCCACCATCTTTATTTGTAGAAAAAAGGTGAATTAACAGAAAGGACATAGAACAGCAAAGACCAAGTTCCTTAATACAGAAAACTGAGACTGGCCCTTAGTTGCTAGGTTTTTGAATGACAAAAGCCATGCACTGACCCTGGTGCTTGTTGTCAAATGCCAGGCAACGGATGTAAGCATTTGGATATGCCTTTTTGCACTCATGGATTTCATGGAGGACTTGAGAGGCGTCGGTGCATCCAAACATTGGCAGCTTCCATAACGTCCAGTACCTTCCATCGTAATATCCTGGCATCCTGCTGTGCTCCCTTCGCACGCTTCCCTCCTAACATTAATTGAACATTAACTTAGATAAATAAATCAGGTGGCTAGAACAAAGACCACCTGCAACTAATACACAAATTATGAAATACAAGTGGAGAAGAGAGGCATGATCTTTGGCTAGCGTGCATGCAGATGGCATCCATACTTTCTCTTACCTCATCAAATTCAAGGCAAGGGATCCATCCATTTTTCATCATGTAATCAACCTCCTTTGCAATTGATTCATCAGAAAGAGGAGGCAGGTAGGACAGAGCCTCGAACTTTTTGTTGTTGATTGGATTCCATGTCTATTTGAATAACAAGTATTGCATGCGAGTAGGAAAGAAACAAAGACCAAAAGACACACATCAGATTTAACTAAGCAGTGATAAAAATAAGCTAAGCAGTGTTTTGTGCCTTGTTCAATCATATTACCTTCATACAAGAAGTTTTACAACCATTGGACACAGTTTTGCGGCTCCATGCAACAGAATCCTTGGTAGAAAACAGCTGCTTTGTGGGGTTCGCTTTTAAGCCATGGTAACCAGAACCAGCCGCTGCAGGAGCTGCAAAGATTCCGGCAGACATTTTCTTGGAACTGTTTGCTGATGAAAGAGAGAGCAGCACAGGGAGGCAGTTGTAGCTAGCTAGTAGTAGGACAATTGATCGACAGTAGCACTACTCTTTTTGTAAAGGTAAGAGAAACGGTTTAATGAAAGGACAAAAGGAGTTTGCTTGGGTGTTCGTGAGGTGATGTGTGGTTTGTGAAGACGGTTTCAATGGGAAGAGACAATGGTTTCAAGGTGATGGAGGGTTTTGTTAAGCTCTAAAGCTTTGGTATCATCACCATTTGCTTCCTTTTACCTTCTTGTCCTGGTGGGTACACACATGGCATCGGGAAATTGTTTGGGACCCACTACCTAATGGTGCCACCTACGGAGTTTCTGCAACCCTAGTTGAGGACATCTGTGTGCCCGTGTGAATATGCCAGTGGCTTACCATGATCCGATTATTAAATATGGCAATTAGTGGGCATGGGCATCTGAACAGCTTCCTGTCATCTTGTGTGCCAAGCAGAAAAATGTCTTATTTCCCGTCATTGGTCATAAAACTGAGCAAAACGAACGCCAATGATACACCGTAAACCATCAAAACAGCACAGGGCGTCCAATAATAAGCGACATCTTGCTCTGCAACCCTATGATCTTGTTTTAAATATCCAACACATACAAGTGAAACTGGATGGTTTAACTTGCTATTCGCTAGTAAGCATAGGTCTCAGCAAGTCAGCATGTCAAGAGGTGAATTAATCTTCACACAATAAAGCATCACACAACACCAGCAGAAACAAAATCAAGTAGAATAAGTACTTCATAACTGCCTATTGAATTTATAATGGCCCATATCATTCAGTAATTTTGAACTGTGTTGGGGCCTTAATTGGATCAGAAGCCTCCCAAATGAACATCACCATGAACCAGACACTCATTGATTAAGCAAAGAGCACCATATAGCCCATCTGGTTCGATTGCCAGACTCTTTTATCTGCTTCTAGAACTGTTCCAATGATCTTGAACTGTTCTCACATTTGATTCCCTACCATTGGTCAATATCTGATTGCATCACGTTCTAACTTCTATACAGTCAAGTAAATCAACTAGTAACGTATTTGGGAAAATATTAATGAATGAGATAGATGCTATATTATAAAAGGAAATGAATTCTGACATTCTTACATCATAAGAATGACAAATGCTGATAATACATGTGAATGATGATAGTCTGAATGAAGAATGTTAATGGGGTCTAATTAAAGAATTACTGCTACACAGTCCCTTGGCGGGTTTTTTGTGCACAAGGACTATTTAATTTGATCTAGTCAAAGTAACCATAATAGGATTGTCAATGCCAGAGCTTCATGCAGAACCCAGATGGCACAACAGATTGTCTCCTGCTAGAAATACATTCTGAAAAGGTATCCACAATCTGTTCTGCAAGAGAAGCAGGATCTTCAATAAAGGTATCAACGAATGTCTTCACAACCCTTACCTCTTGTGCTGTTGCCCTCAAGCCATACCAAGTCAAGAATTTCTGCCGAAAATTCTTCTCGATATGTCCCTCACACTCTAACAATCTGATTATCTTCACGTAATACTCAAAGTCCCTATCTGAATGACCATTTGCCATACACTCCTCATCTCGCCTTTCCCCACTTCTCTTCTTTGAAGTGCTGCCATCTTGGGGCTCCTCTCCTTTTCCAGCCCCATTTACTATGTCTTTGTTGATGGATTTTGATCTTCCATTTCTTCCTTGCCCGTCCTTAAGCATTTCCAGTTTGCAGGGAGTAATGGGCAAGCTAGCTTCAGAATTGCTCACAAATGGCACGCATTCCATGGCAGTCTGAACGGGGGTATCAGACCCACTATCAGTAATTATCTCTTCAATGATTCGGCCCTCTGTCAAGTGCTTCTTATCAAGCATTTGCATATCAGAATTGGGCTTGGAGCTTACCACCTGTGTGGTATGTTCCTCATCTAGCAAAGGAATTGCATCTGCTAGGGTGCCAGAGCAATTTAAAGCACCATTGGACTTATTGGCAGACACAATTTTATCACCATCCTCGCAGTAGGCATGATAATTGTCAGCTCGGTTGACAATTTGATCATTGCATGGTTGATTGTTATTTGTTTCATCCTCCACAGAAGACGGATTAGAGAGGCTGCTACAAATGGTATTTGGGCTTTGACTTCTTTCTACTATTGAATAGTTTTGGACTTTGTCCTGAGTAATGCTGGTTGAGCACTGAACTTCAAACATACCCAATTCTCTTACACCATTGAAAGGAACAACTTTAAAATGGTACTCTGTGGCTGGAGATAGGCCTGTGACAACATATCTTGTATTTGGTAAGAACAGTCTGCAAGTAGGTTCCGCTGGATAATCCAGATCATGACCATTACGATGCCACAAGGTATAACCAGCGATATCATCAGCTGAAGAATATTGAGAACCCAAAACCAAAGCAAGGGAAGTTGCACGTACATCTTCAAAGTTGACTGTCACTGGAGCAATCATGTTTGAATCTGCAAGGACATGAGAACACCTGAAGGCTATTAATACTTTCCCTAAAAGTCCACACCTCGAGAAACCAGCATTTTGGACAAAAGAAAATATTTCCAGCACCAACAACCTAACAACTTTCCATGATCAAAAGTGCCCATGTGTCCCTGATGCAATCTAGAATTACCAGTCTTAGATTAAAAAAAAAAAAAAAAAAAAAGAAACTGACTTTTTGCAGAAAGTAAATATATTTTCCAAGTGTTACATGAAATGTGCTCCTGGGCACTGCTTGATAATGCACTGTGTTTTAGGGAAGGTTGCTTCATTCTCCAATTGAACTAATTTGCTCCTTTTCTCAACGAAATTCCTTATGTCACAACAAGAAAAAACAAAATCCAATGTATTACCTTGCATCTTTGAATCAGGCAATGGATGTGAAATAGTGTTTGAAAGCATTTTGTCCAGTGACTCCACAGCAAAAGTGCAGATTTTTTGAACCTCTGGTCCTGAAGAAAGCCTGTTGACAATTCCTCTACCCATCTTTACGGGTAAACCAATTAATGGACCCACTTCAGCTTCAAGCTTCCTTGCAGCTTCATCGACAATCTCATGAAGCTTTTTGTACTTTTCAGTTCCATTCAAAAGTTTCTGACTTAAGGACAAACGATAGCACATAATGTCTACCCTCCTGGTATCTTTAGCCATCATCAATTGTTTTCTCCAGCATCTGAATAAAGTCAAGAGACAAACTCAAATCAATCAAAACATCATCGTTGTTAAATTCAAGAATTTATGTTTGTGCTAAAACAGATGATTTATTGTGTGCCATTCAATATCGATGTCGAAAAGGAGGCACATGACGTATTGGGAATTATTCAATATCAGAATTCTCATTGATGAAGAAGGAGAAAACAGCACATAGGGCTGAAAGTACTTCTCCAAGAATACCAAAAGCCAATTGAACTGTCTCAAATGAGAAGTATACCAAACAAATGCAAACACGCCAGACAGCAAATAGCAGAAGTAAAATGCTAATAAAACATGGGGATAAATACCCCAGCAAATCATTGACTTTCCCACAAGCAAAACAGCGAAAGCTCCCATCAAGTCTCCCATGACGCCCATCTTTCCCAATGCCAGAACTTTCATGTTTTAAGGCACAATCAAGATGGCTCGACATGCTACAGGCAACACCTTGAAAAGGAGGCTCTGAGCTGCAAAATAACCACAGGCTGGGATCTTTGTTGTCATCATACTGACGACAGATACAACATGAACACCTCTTGCAAAATGTGTCATCTGGTTTTAAGGTAGCTCTACAAGCTGAGTTTTTGCAGTATATAGTATTGGCTTGATCACTGATCCCATTGTTAGTTGCAACATAGTTCAATGGGACAGGCACTCGAGATGGGTTATCAGTTTTCCGCTGCCTTTTAGAAGCTCTCTGAGTAGATGCAGGAGATATTTCGGTCTCAAGGTCAGGTGAGGCCTCACGCTCCTCAGATTTTTTTTCAGAGACAATTTTCAAAAGGTGCTCTATGATTTTCAACTTTGTCAAGCCTGTATATTTTCTTTCTTTTCCCATCTCTGCACAAAGGATCTGCAGAATCTCCTGACGGCTCCATGACTGTAGCCTTTCAGATGCACCTGGCCACTTTGATAATTGATAGACAAGTTCTCTCTTTTCATTCATACTTAACTTATTGCATTTCAACGGATCAAGAGCACCTCCTTTGTCACATGAAAAAACAAAAACAAACGAGGAAAGAAGATATGTCTCAGGACAGACTTTTAATAAGTGAAAAGAAGAATCAAAGAATCAGGGGACATAATGTTATATTTGATAAAAATAAAAAAGGAGCAAAGGTAGAATGTCAACTTGTAGGTAAAAACACACTAAAACATGCTTGGCATTAAAAACCATTGTAAATCCCAAATTAGCAGTAAATTAGAATGTCAATGACCAATTTCTTTACATGTCAAAACTGAAGAAGGCAGAGAAAAATGATCATCTTACATGAAAGACAGCTTAACCAACCACACGTAACCAGGTTGAAGTCAGCATGTTTCCATTACTCATTTGAAAAGCTTGATCTAAATTTCTTTTTCCTTTCTCTAAATACTATTAAACAACTTGTTACCATTTTTCCATTAGTTACATCAAAACATACAACAAAATAGTTGACTTGGATTAAAAAAGGCATACCAACTGCATCAAATAATCAAACAGATTTGCAAAGAATGCTCTGATATAATTAATTAAGATCATCAATCATACATGCGTGAATAGAATCAAACAAAACTTGATTTGACTTTCAAATGCCTCTGCCTCTGGGCTTTCACAAAAGTCATTGCAAGTGTTACTTCAAATAATGGCGTGTCCGAAAGATGATAAATCCATAATATAATATAAACTTGCTTCTTCAATATAAATGCATACAGATTCTAAATAATGCAGATATATAAAATGCAGAGAAAGTAACCACTTGCTTGTAGAGTCAAACAAAAATGCAGTTTACCAACCTCAAAAATTCACCCACCAAAAAAATATATTTTCATAAACAAAAGGCTGAATATCAATAAAAAGACTGGTGATCACAAATTCAACTACTACTCTTAATCACCTTCCATAAAGCTGTAATTTTTTTCATCACAAATAAAAAACCCAAGAAACACTTATCAATACCCAAATCATAAAAACAAAAAATAACAATATTTCTGCAAATTAATTACCATGCAGATTACAAATCCAAACCAAGATTTCATCTTTAGCTCATGAAAAACAACAGACAAGAGAAACATTCAATGGCTGACATCATAAATCTCCCCCAAATCCAAAAAACCAAAATAGAAACCTCAAATGAACAATCAAATCAAACACAAGTAAATCAAAAGACAATAAAACTTACCCTCAAAAGACAAATCCATTGCAGAATTATCAACGAAGAAAAACCCACTTAGCACATCACATTACCACCGTAACCCCAACCTGCAAAAGAGAGAAAATTCCCAACACCCCATCACATAAAACAACACCAGCTATACGCAAAAAAAGAAAAAAAACGAAACTCTGTATATACGATAAATAACAAAAAATAAAACAAACCCATATAAAAGAAAAAGGGGGAAAAATTGTCTTAGTTTCGTGATATAGAGAGAGAGAGAGAGAGTGAAAGGGAAGGGAATAAGAGATACCAAAAAAAGGGCAGTTGGAAATTCTACCAGAACAAGCGAATCCATGGCTTAAAAAGACATGCTCCCTCTTCTCTCTTCTCTTTTCTCTTCTCTCCTCTCCTCTATATATCTGTCTAAAAATTAGATAGGGAGATTATCTGTCTATGCAGTATAGGTTAGTTTTTAATATTGTGAATGAGTGTGCGTTTTTATGGGTCCTCCTTTAGTTTTCAGGACCCCAAAGCTGTGCAGTGAAAGGAGATTCGAGGATTTGTTTTTGCTGTAGGGAGAGAGAGAGGAAAAATAAAAAGGGTACCAAATAAATAGTCCTATGAAGGAAGGGACGCTATGCAAAGCGGCTGCATGTCATCTTCTTTTTCTACCCCCTCAACCAACGTCCTTTCTTATTTATCCTTTTTTAGTTGTTTTTTCCTTTTTTTCCTTTTGCCTTTTTTTTTTTTTTTAGAGAGAACGGGTGAAGATTGAATAACAAGTCTCGTACGGATACAGTGACATGTTATCTGTTGATTTTTTTAATTTTGATGTCTATGATTTTTTTTTTTTGAAAAAAAATAAATATTATATTATAAATAATGATTGACATCACAAATCTCACAATGATACGATGAATTTTATCGATAAATAACAATAATATTTATTTTGATTTTGATAATTTTATATGTAAAAGCGATGCATTGTACATATTATGTGTTTTTTTTTCCTTTTTTGAATAGAGAACAAGAATTATGTTGCCGGTAATGATTGACACGTTAGATTTTGTATTGATTCAATGACATATTATCTGTATATACTAATTTCTATTTTTATTTTGATGCATATGATGTTTTATAAATAATATATTTATGTTATCGGTAACGATTGATACCACAAATCTCGTAATGATATGAGACATGCTACTTTTAAATATAGATGATTTTAATTTTAATTTTAATACATATAATAAAGACATGTATCTTGCATGTAAACCCGATACATTGTACTCGTATTGTGTTTTTCTTCTTCTTTTTGGAAAAAAGAATAAGAATTATGTTGTTAGTAACGATTGACACAACGGCTCATGTTGTTATAAGGTGACACATTAACTTGTAAATATCAATGATTTTTGTTTTAATTTTGAGGCATATGTTGTATTTTGCATCTAAACACTAAATATTTTCTATCTTCTTCTTCTTCTTCTTCCTTTTTTTTTTTTTTTTTTTTGAGAAAGAGAAACAATGGATATTATAATATCGATCACGATTGACAACATTATACTATTGATTACGATTGACACCACAAATTTTATAATAATATGCGACATGCTACCCGTAAACATCGATAATTTTAATTTTAATACATATGATAAAAGTGAGTATCTTACATGTTAACACGATACATTGTACATGTGCTATGTTTTTTTTGGAGAAAGAATGAGAATTATACGATCAGTAACGATTGATATGATAGCTCTTGTGATTATACGGTGGCATATTATCTATAGATATCAATGATTTTTGTTTTAATTTTGAGACGTGATAAAAGTTGGTATCTTGCATCTTTGTTTTGTTTTTATTTTTTTTGAGAAAGAGAGAATTGATATTATACTATATTGGTAACGATTGACACCACAGATTTTTATAATAACTGTAGCATGCTACCTGTAAATATCAATAATTTTGCAATAATACACATGCTATGTTTTTCTTTTTCTTCTTCTTCTTCTTCTTCTTTCTTTCTTTCTTTTTTTTTTCCCGGAGAGAAAATGAAAATTATACTGTCAATAACTATTGACACGACAGATCTTATATATGATAAAAGTTGGTATCTTGCATCTAAACACCATTTATTTTCTGTCTTTTTTTTTTTCAAGAAAGAGAAAAAAAATATTATACTATATATTTACATCTAAACGATGTATTGTACACGTAGTGTGTATTCGTTGCACTATTAATTGATGCTGATGTATAGTGAAAGTGAAAACATGGTAGAATGAAACAAGAAGAGTTTGTGACTTTGTGCCCAAGTTGGATAGATTTGGCCTATTATTGAAACCAACAGAAGGTTGTCTGTTCTAAGGAAGCTATGCGACTATTGAGCATAGAAACCACAGCTTTCAAGTTCTATCCAGAGTAAAAAAGAAAGAAAACTTTGATTGCAAATAGGATCAAACAGAACATTACATGTTGATATCTTGACTTACGTGACTCTTCTTTACCTACACTAACTACCAATGTTAAATCTTCAGCTGTCATGCATGTCTTTAGTGTCCCAAAGGCCAAGGGGGTCATGTCATAATCATTGTGGTTCAATAGTTGTCTAATTCTTCGACTTCTTCTTCTTCTTCTTCTTCTTTTTCATGTATTTCTCTTCTTTTCAAACAAGTTTATTGGCATTTCAACTACAATAATATCCTCCATTGCGCAACCATATTAATTTCATGCTTTTGCTCGCACTAGCGAGTGATGAAGTGCAAACTTTCTGGAAGTCAATGCTTAAAATCAAGTTATTACATAAAAAATTACCTTTTGGTATTGGAGATGATCACAAAAGAAATGATGACCAAAAAGAGGGCATAGTGTTTGGTGTTGATGGGCTCTCGTTTAATTGAATGATACTACTATATGATATGGTTCTATTTATGAGATTAGATTAACTGATGGATTTGCGTACACCAATCAGAAGAGGCAATGTAAGGCGTAGACGTGTCAATTCAGAGCAAGTAGTGGCTCACAAATATAACTGTCAAAGGCCAAAAAGGTGGGGCTGTTCATTATTTCTTAAAGTTTGTTCCCTTATTTGCACAAATGATAATGCTCCCCATGCCAACCATTACCTCATGAGTGTGCGCTATTTTATTGGACCTCTGTATGATAATAGTACGAATGCTTACGATGGTATTGGTAGGTCGGTTTCTTCCTTCAGCAAATGAGATGACCCCTTCCTTTCGTCTTTTATTATATTTCCATTTCAAAAGATTAAGGAGAAAGGTGTGGAATAATGCAAAGCATAGGTATATATTCATTCCCAAAAGAAACCAATAAGTGAGAATATCAAATAATTAATAGCTTCCTCTTTCTCCATCACCATGGTGCCTCGAAAAGCTACAACCTTAGTTGTTGTTATTATTATTATTATTTAAATTGGTTTTCAATAAACTAAGAAAGGCTTTTTTTTTTTTTTTTGTGACAATACAAGCATGCATTAATTTGAATCTCTGCATGAAGTTGACCTAAGTTAATTTATTAATAGCTGAAACATTGTTTAATTGTTGCTGGAATATAGTTTTAGTTGATTATTATGTCTCCAAAAGAAGCTATTCCCACCCACCCACCACCCAATCAGCACTCTCTTTTTTTTTTTTTTGTTCTAAAAAATAGATTTATTAAAGGGTGAATGACAAAAACTCTGAGGTTTTATAAAATTTTACAGGCCATCTAAAAAATTAGAAGATTTAACAAAAACTCCCTTGTGTTTATGCGAATGTTATAAAAAAATGGATACAAAATATTTTTTGAATTCAAAATATTCTCAATATTTTTAAAATAAGGATAAATATATCCATGTGTCTTTAAATTTCTAATTACACATTATTTGTTTCTAAAAATATTTGAAATATTTAATTTATCAGTTCGATCAATTTTTTCGGCCAAATAAAAAATTGATTGAAATGCTCCGATTGAAATGTAAATAAAATAAAATAAGTTTCTAAATACATCTAAAATAAAATATATAGGTTATGTGACTTTAAGTGTCATTTATTTATTTATTGTATTTTAGTAAAGGGTATTTTGATAAAAAAATTATGATCGAAAAATCGATCGGAATGACGGACTAAATTTTTAAAAATTTTCAGAAACATATAAGATACAATTGAAAATTTAAAAACAGATGTGAGATTTTAAATATTATATAAGAACATATTTACTCTTAAAACAATCCTCCTTAACATAAATCAATTTTGAGAGAAAAAGAGGCTTTGTAATATTTTTAAATGATTACGGTAATTGATGATACTTTAAGAGATCATTTTAATTTATCTTACCTTACTCTATATATCTTTTCTTTAAAAATTATTTTTTCACATAGATTAAAAATATTATTAATTGTTATGTTTTATAAGCATATTTATTTTTATATTTTTTTTAAATACTATTTTTTTTATAAAATTATCACTCATCAAATATAGAACCAATATTAATTAAAATTTTTTTTTTGAAAAACACATCACTAAATAAAATAAATATAAGTAGAAAAATAAGTAATACTTTTAGAACAGATGGAGTAATATAAATGGCAGTTAAGATGTATTTAAATTCTGAATTCCTACAGACATATTGCGCGAGAACCGCAATCAAAGCACGTCAATTATGTTCCTGTTTTAGGCTCACGAGTTCAGCCTATTTACCAGCAGGAGAATCGCAATCATTGACTTGTGTGGTTCAAAAACCACAGGCAAAAACATAAAAGTAGTTCGTAGCGGTGATCTCTTTATAATTTACTAATTTTGGGATTATTTAAAAGCTAGAAGGTGACAAATTACGTCGTTATTATATATATATATATATATATATATATATATAAACAACCATGCAATTTTGATTCTGGATAACTTGTTGCTCTTTGAGTTTCATTGAAAACCAGCCCATTGAATTTGAAGCTTCCCAACTTTGGTTTTGCTCCTTTTAATTACCTTCAACGCATACTTTTCAATTTCCTCCTTTGAATTTTCAGTTGGAAAATGCATTTCAACTAGT